TTGGTTGGGGTCACGTGACCTCGAGGATCACGTCACATTGGGGGTCACGTGATCCCAAGATGACCCCACGTGACCTTGGGGGTCACGTGACCTTCAGTGGGTCACGTGACCTTGAGATGACCTTGGGATAACCTTGGTTACGCCGACGGCAACGGCGACGCCGCTCAAGCCGGGAACGGGCCCCTAAGAGCTGCGCTCTAACAAGTGAGAGTTCACCAAGTGCGGTTTTCACAATCGATTCGTCAGGCCCGGTGGACGTTAGCTGAACTGACAACCGTCATGCTAAATTTACTAATTAACTAAACTTCGTTAATTATCAATCTATACTTGCGTTCAGCTTTCTGTGGCGATCCGAAGAGAGGAGGAAAGCACGTGTACAGCAGTTTGTGCACCATCTCCCCTAGCAGTGACTGCATTGCCACAGAAAGCTGACCGCAAGTATAATGATTGGTCTTAGGATTCATTCTGAAATTTTACTCTTAACGGCATTTAGCACTAGAAACCAGGCCAATTGAGAGAATTTGAAAAGGTAATCATTTTTTAGATAATAATCAATGACTTTTGTTCACTTTTTTGCCTGACTGAAACATTGCGCGCCAAAAGAGCGTAGCAAGCCCTGCCCACAATGAGGCTTGGACGAGTGACATAGTCAATCATTTCAGCCATGTTGTCACTTTTGTCGTCTGCGCACCTACCAAGAATATATACTTCCGAGATAATAACAACGTGTTTGAAACAACGACGTCACCCTTCCAAGTGTCATTGTGGGCAGGATTTGAGCAGGCGAAAAATTGAAATTTGATCGTAGAAGAGATTTCGGATTACTATTTGAGAGAGATTTTGCAGGTTTATGGCGCAAAAGCTATGAGGCCATCTGCACCAAGCTAATTGTAAGGATCATTGTATTAAACGAAGGGTTTTACAAAAGGATGACCAAAAGGCTAGAGTCGGTATAAAAGGCCAATACTACTAAGAATTTATATTACTTGTTCAAAAGAGACCAGAGGATTCTCTCCCACAAGGAGAGCAGGATAAAATGGGATATGATATTGAAAAAAATTCAGGGAAATGAATGCGGCACTTGGGCTGAAGGCTGGGACACAGCCACAATATATGCAAAACAGTGAGCCTGTCACCACACTGATCACACACAGGTGGATCTTCTCCCGAAAGCAGATACCTATGAGTTATAAATGAGTGTCCAATTCTCAGGCGGCACAACGTTTCATGGAGTCAGCTCATGCATGAAGAGCTTTCCCAAACTCCCAATGCAGGTTTGGTAACATGGAGCTTGTTATCGTACTCCATGTCCCATTCCCATTGCCAAGAGTGAAGAATCGAGGACTTCACCAAGGGCTTAATATCTTGATAGGGTAAACAGGACAGCGACTGTGGAAGGTTGATTGATTGATTTTGAAGGTTTAATGGCGCAAGAGCTACGAGGCCATCTGCGCCAAACGATAATAACAATCAGCATGCTTTGGTGAGAGTTTTACCAAAGTGCAACCTAGGATTTGGTAAAGCTATATTTGGTATAAAATGCCAATGCTAGTAAGAAAGTCTACTACCCTGCTAAAAGGGACCATGGGATTCTCTCCCAGCAGGAGGGCCGGATGAAACGGGATTTTTTGTTGAAACAACTCAGGAAAATAAACACGATGTTTGGGCTCCAGAGCGGGACAGGACCACAAGATATGTAAGATTGTAAGAGTATCACCACACTGATCACAAATAGGAGGATCTTCCCCCCAAAGTAGGTACTTATGAGTGATGAAAGAATGCCCGATTCTCAGACGGCACAGCAAGGTTTCATAAAGACGACTCTTGCATGAAGAGCTTTCCCAAGCTCCAAGTACCGGCTTTGTAACGTGGAGCTTGTTTTCGCACTCCCTGTCCCATTCCAACTGCCAACAACGAAAAAGTGATGACTTTACTAAAGGCTTTATATCCTGATATGGTAAACAGAAAGACGATTGGACAAGGTTTCCCACAGACCCTGCAAGCCTGTCAGCCTTCTCGTTGCCCTCTATGCCAACGTGACTAGGTACCCAACAAAATGTTATGCTTTGACCATCGTGTAGAGCAGCGTTGAGTTTACTCTGAATTTGTTGTACAAGCATGTTTTTAGTGTCTTTAACAGAGCAAACTGCAACAATCACACTTTGAGAATCAACAAAAAGAACAGCCCTAGTTATTTTCTTATGTAGAATGTAGTCTATTGCCATTGATACTGCATAGAGTTCTGCAGTAAAAATGCTAGCAAACGAATTAAGTCGCGTAACTTTAGAGAAGCGTTCTGAATACACAGCGCAGCCAACGAAGGATGAAGTCTTGGCGCCATCTGTGTAAACGTGAAGATAACCATCATACTTGATTTGTACTTCACAAAACTCTTGCAGTATTACAGCATGGGAAATGCCATGTTTGTTAAATTTTGTGAGCGACCAGTCGCAGGCAACTGGCAGTGTCTTCCAGGGTGGAATACGATCGTCGACATTTCGAATGAGGCCGACCTGGTCCAATGGAAGATGCAGTGAAGTGCAAAGTTCTTCAATGCGGGAGCTTAATGGTGTCACAATGCTTGGCTTGTTGTTAAAGAGGCGGGAAAATCTCGACCTTGTAAGGGAAGAATAAGTAGGGTGTTGAGCGTCAGCCAGAATCTTAAAAGCATACGTTAGGCTATGATAGGTACGTCATTTGTTCAGTGATAGCTCATTAGCTTCTGCATATAAACTGGAGACAGGGGATGTTCGGAAAGCACCAGTTGCTAGTCTCAACCCCAGGTGGTGAACTGGGTCCAACATTCTGATGGCAGATGGCCGGGCCGATCCATACACTGCCGCACCATAGTCAAGACGAGATCTTATAAGAGCATTGTACAACCGTAGAATACATTTTCTGTCAGAACCCCAGGACTTATGAGATAGAACTTTCAAAAGATTCATAGACTGAAGACATTTAGTTTTTAAAGCTTTCAGGTGTGAAATAAAATTAGGCTTTATATCAAATATCACACCAAGAAATCTGTGCTCTTTCCTGACAGGTACAGGGTTTCCATTTAGTTCACCAAAAAAACTTCACCATTATTTTTAAATATTATTCGTTTGACAGCGATGACACCAGAGCCTTCGAGGCCCTCAAGAAGTTCATCCTCACTGGTATGAAAGAAGTCATCCTCAGAGAGGACACCACGAATGGTGTTAAGTGTACGGTGAGGGCTCACCGACACTTTCAAGTCAACAATGTTGGTCATCTTAGAGAGTGCTCCACTTTGTTTTTTTGTTTCTACCTCCACAAGGAGGTCTCCACAGTAGAGCTTCTTAGCCTTATAGGAGAACCCTACAAGGTGCTCAAGAACTTTAGCTACAACAAAGGGTGAGAGCTTTGCAACTGGTTTCTGTTCATCCAGCGAATGAACGACAAAAAACTTTGTAAAGGTTTCTTCCTTAGATTCTTTTTCAATGGTTTTGTGTTCAAGGCAGCGCCTTTTAAAGGCTTGCCCTGAACGGGGTTTGGAGGGGTGGGGCGCCATAGGAGGGCAAAGAGTGTTCGGTATCCGCGGTGCACCGCCCACCACCGAGCCCAACAAGGGGTTGGGTAACGCACCATAACAAGGAGGGCTTGGCTGGAGACGTTACGCTAACAGTGCTGCCGGGAAACTATACCCAAGTGTGGGTCAAGACAGAGGTCCATTGCCACCCAAGGTTAGCCCTTGCCTCCAAAGAGGGTTGAAAAAGGAGTAAGATAAGTGAGAGAGAAGTAAAGGAAGCAGGAAAGGTAAAAGTGAAAGATCGGAGGGGATAGTAGAAGAAATGGCGACTAGACTGAATCATCCTGGCGGGGCCTTACCAGGACTCCCGTCTATGAGAAGCGGGGGCCGAAGTGGTGTATTGCCTCACCCGGGGGGCCCCGAAGGGTCCAAACCTGCCCCGGGCTCGGCTCAACCACCAGGATTCCCTTTTCCCTTGACACGGGAAAGCCACGCACAGCCATACGTGGGCGGGCGAACCCGCACGGCTCGGGGTCCGTGGAGGCGCCACTCTCCAAACACCTGCTTTCACAGGTACCCCCTGCGGGGTGTGGAAGGTTCCCGGCAGATCCTGCAAGCTTGTCGGCTTCTTCATTGCCTTGAATGCCAATGTGACTGGGTACCCAACAAAATTTTATATTTTGACCCCCATGCAAAGCAGAGTTACCGTAAAATACCGAGGAAGCGCCCATACCCGTACAAGCGCCCACTATCACCATTTTCGAAATTCGAAAATTTGGGCAAGTACACATCAAGCGCCCATATTCTCGGAAGCGCCGGCGTTCACGGCAGCCGCCGCAGCAAGCACCCTGCCGAAGGTGGCCGCGGCGGACTGGGCCCGGAGACCAATTCCCGTAAAATTGGGTTACCAAGGTCACTCCGGGCACTTTGTCCTTCACGTTACTGCAGCATTGTGTGGTCTGCACAATCCGGGGGTAGCAACGACAGGACCAATAGGAGTGTAGATAATAGCCAGATCGTCCCAGCATCTTGATGAATGCTTCGTGCTTCTCGATTGCCGTTGGTCACTCAGTTGGCAAGCAACCAGTTTTACCGCACAATAGATGGCGCACAACTCCTAGCGTTATAAAATTTAGCAATTTCCACCACATTGCTAATTATTCAACAAAATATGCATCAGAATATTCTTAAACAAAGCTTTTAATAAACATTAGCCGGCTATTTATTGTTTATGATAGCGGTGCTGGTGAGGTAGGCTCTTATCCAATAGGCGACGTATAGATGTGCCTGACGTGCCGTGGCACCCGTGGGTACATCGCAGTGAAAAGGCAGAGAGCTTTTGAAGGAAACAAGGTGCAAAAGAGGCCGGTTTTGTTTTGGAAGTTTTATAGCGAAGAACTTTTTGGGCTCTCTGTTCTTGTGTTTTTTTTTCTTTTTACACCCTTAACGACGTGCGGTGGATGAAAGTCGATTTCAAATTCATTTAATGGTCCCTTTAAGTAAAAGGAAACTGAAAGTGAAGGTCAGCTATGGCCATGTGATGCATGTCTGCTGTAAACGGTGTATAGTCCTTGGAGAAAAATTCAGGCTGCAAATCTGCTTTGTTGTGGCGAGTTCAGCTGGTAGATCTGGACCACTTCCCAAAATCTTCGAGGGAGGAGAAAACCTGTTCCGTGGAGCATCCTCAAAATCGACCAGCCGTAGGTATACCCCCACAGTTTTGGAGCGGCCCTACTGACGCGCACCGAAGACGGAGGAATGTTTTTTGCAAACTTTCACGGCTGCTGTTCGCGTAGCTGCAGCCTCAGTTCTCTGATGAATCACTTTCATACAGCAGCAGCAAAGCTGCACGCAAGTTTAGTGCAGATGCTCTTTCACAGAACAACAACCCAGACACACGTCTGGCAGGACCAACAGGACGAGTGAGCGGGGCTTTAGTGACCTTGTCTCAGGGGGGATTTCTGCGTCTGGGTTGTTGTGTGAAATAGCTTCTGTGCCAGACTTGCGTGCGGCGTTGCTGCTGCTTTGTGAAAGTGACTCATAAAAGAACTGAGGCAGCGGCTTGGTGAGCGGCAGCCGCAGAATATTGCGAAAAATCGTTCCTCCGTCTTTGGTGCGTGTCGGTTGGGCCGCTCCAAAGCTGTAGCAAATGTAGCCTGATGGTGGCCAACTTGATTCGAGTCCATGAGCTCAAGATGCGCGCTTCAAAAGGAGGTCTTTAGAGCGCGTTAAGTCTGACAGCTGAATTCACCATTAGACATTCCAGACAAGGGATATTTGTGGACATGTACCCCTCTCATCGGTCAATACCAGAGCTTCTAAAGATTTATCTTGACACGCATTGGTTGCTTGGGGGCACCCAGGCAAACCGTGTGCCACTTGCAACATATCAAAAGACTTGGCAATGCATTGAGTTTGATTTTGCGGTGCTTACTCAACGTCCACCATAAAATATTGTGAACACGGCAATCTGATTGGAGCAGTCTGGAGGTAACAAACAATCTAATCTGCAACTGAAGATAGTCTGCACAGCATAAAGTATGCATGAGCCTTTAGACATGTATAATCTCGAAAATATGGCAGTGTTTATCAGAGGTGGAAGCATCTGATTAACCTTTTATGAATTATTTTTAAGGACGCCATTGCCCAAAGAAACCTGGCCAAGAGAGGAAGCCGGCCATCTGCCCCACCAAACTCTCTATCCTGAAAAGTGAGTAGTATTTTTTTATTGCACTTCACAGCTGTAGCTGTTCACTTTTTTTTGTTTGCATTGAATTTGAGCTGCTTTCTTTTACGTAAGCCGAACTGCGCACAGAAAAGTATTAAAAGCCATTGCCGTTTAATATGTGGCATGATATCTTTACAATGCTAATATGCTTATGCAATGAAACGTTGCGTTTCCACAATGGGCACCATTATTTGCTTAGGTCGATAGGAGCTTTTTCCGGTGTCTTTCCTTACTGTTGCTATGACTTTGCTGTCAGCAGGTCATGCCATTGAAATAATCAGCCTCTGGGTGATGTAGTGCAGCACAGCTGCGTTGATCGAGCCTGTGCTAAAGCAGAGCACAGGTGCTTTCTTAAAATCTATCTTTATGTCACACTTCAAAGATAAATTCCACCAGCCAGTTTCGCAAGTCCACCACTGCTGTGATGCATTACAGGAATTTATTCTTTCCACACGCGTGACAAGTCATAAGCGTGAAGCATGCACCTAAGAGTTTGAGAGATTGGTCTATTGTATTGTCATGATGTCATACTTGAACGGCTTCATGCCGCTTTGTACTTGAACAACTTTGTGCTACCAAACAGCAGAGTCGTGGTTGCTAGATTGTAGCTGCTATTTCATTATAGTAGTCAATCTTCACTCATTTTATTGATTTATACTCAAGTTTTCTGATGCAACGGTTTTGAGCCAAGTATCTTACTTTTTCATGCAGATGTCTACGTGGCTCGCCTCGTGAGCAAAGGCATGCCGGAGAGGTTTGCCAAGGTCGGAGCCAAGGATGTGACCAGGTTCATTAATGAGAAAATCACTGAGCTGAGGAGGCTTGACTCTAGGAGGTGCCTTATGTTTGTTTCATTTCTTCTCAAAGCAACATGCATCTTTTTCTTTTTAGCAGGCTTTCTTCCATGTTGCCTTCTGCATGCTGCGAGCATTTGGCAAATGCTGTAACTATGTGGTATATGTGTATAGTTACAGCATATTAGCTGTAACCCCTTGCAGCAGAGAATGCCTCAGTGGTTCATAGGAAACAACTAGTCGTTGAGTATCCAAAATATGGAATCAGACTTAGTCAACACGATCGCAGTTATTCTTTGCAACCAGCAGAATTTGCCCATTGATTATGAATGTACTGCACATACTGCCGAATGCTCTCCTTCAAGCAAAATCGAATTTTTATGGATCCATATTTCTGACTACCGTAGAATACCGTGCATCCACCCATTTTGCACTAAGCGCCCACCCCCAATATATGAAACATCTGAAAAAATATGCACAGTACATATATATGTAAAATTGATGACCTCACATCTTCAAATTTTGAGTGGGCGCTTGCTGGGCATTCTACGGCAGTCCAAAATGCTGCCTGCAAATCCTTATCGGGCGGCTTTGGCCGCCTTTTGCTGCAGCATCGGAGACTTGATTACAAATAAATGAAGTCAGGTTTTATGGAGGGAAAACATTATTGTTCTTTATCGCAAGCTAAATATGAACACTTATATCCCATTAAGTAATTTAACCTATATTGGTGTTTCTAGGAAAGCTGCACAGGAAAAGTTTGACCTCGAGGGAGCTGTGGAACCAGAGGGCAACGCCTGAGCAACAGAGGAGGCCGAATGAGTTTTCATTTCAATAAAAATGTCAAAAATCATCTACTAGTGTTTCATTGTCTAGTTATCACAAACCATAAGCAGTTTTCCCATGTGGTGGTGCTCAGTTAGTTCCAATTAGCAACACTCAATTGGGTTTCGACAATTGGAACCAATCGATATTTTTTTAAGGGGAGACACTACCCAGAAAAAAAATTTCTGCAAAAAAAGTTGATTTTGAAAAATGGCATCTTTACATCCACCAACATCTAGAGAGAATTCCCAAAAAGTTTCATTAATTTTCACTGTATAGTTAATTTTTTATAAATTATTTTTTGTCCACCAAAGCTATAGAAAAGGTAGGGTTTGGAGCACTTTGAACATCTTTTTCTCCGTTCCACTTTTTGGTATAAATTCCATTTTAGTCAATCTATCGTTTGATAATGGCAAAACAAGAAAAGCTCATTCTTCCCTTTTCCTGACTGAAATTTAATAAGGAGTGCGGCTATGGAACTTTTTTGTCACTTTACGGATGTCTTTTGTAAAAAATGTTGGCATTTTGTCGAAGGCACAGAAGACAAAAAAGTTGACAAATTTTGCAGAAGAGAAAATTTATAAAAATGGATTACTTTTTAAAAAAAATGTTCCATAGCCGCACCCTCTAGGCATTCTGCTACATATCTAGCAAATAATAATCTTTAATATCGCAATAGTTTTCTGACGATGGATTAACTAAACAACGCAGGCGTGTTGCTGATAAAAGTTACTCTTAATTCCTTCTCTTTTAACCGACAGACCTGAAATTCTGTTATACACCCTCTAGCATGACCACCAGCCTACCCTGTAAATTTCATTAATTTTAAGACAAGGGTTCAAAAGTTGACCCCTCTAGGGGGTGTGCCCCCTTAATGAGGAGTCCAAAGCCGCAAAACGATTTTCCCAATTGGTCGTGACCAATTGGTTCCAATTGGCAATGCTCAATTGGTTTTCGACATTTGGAACCAATTGGGATTTTTCAATGAGGAGTCCGAAATCACAAACGGTTTTCCCCAACGGTTCCAATTGTCAGAAATCCATTGGACTCAATGGTTATTTTTACCTGGGCTGGGGGTGTGGTCATGTGACCTGGGGGTCACGTGACCCCCCAGGACACATGACCACACCCCAAGTCACGTGACCTTGGGGGAAACACCAGGTCACGTGTCCTTGGGGGTCACGTGTCCTGGGTCACGTGGCCCCCAAGTCACGTGACCTTGGGAGCTCCAGGCCCCAGGCTGAGTTGTCACGTAACCTTGGCGCGGGGCCACGTGACCCTCCAGGTCACGTGACCTCGAGAAATTTTTCCGCTAGATTTAGCGGAGAAATGTTTCCGCTAAATCTAGCAAGGAATTTTTCTGCTAGATTTAGCGGGGAAACTTTTCCGCTAGATTTAGCACGGAAATTTTTCCGCTAGATTTAGCGGGGAAATTTTTCCACTAGATTTAGCGGGGACATTTTCCCGCTAGATTTAGTGGGGAAATTTTTCCGCTAGATTTAGCGGGAAAATGTTTCCACTAGACTTAGCGGAAAATTTCCCCACTAGATTTAGTGGGGAAATTTACCCATAATGCAGCACGCGGTTACGCCAACGGCGACGCCGCTCAAGCCGGAAACGGGCGCCTAAGAGCTGCGCTCTAAAACAAATTCGACAGTGCAAAATGTATGCTCCCGAAGGTACGGACATTTAAGCATGGCCACCACAATGTCAGCTGATGTGACATCAGTTCAAGCCATGTACAGGCCATGCACTTCTAACTCAGCCTATTGGCAATGAGAGTAGTTCTCCACCACTCAAACTGATTGAAAGAGTGGATGTAACAGAAACTTTTGTCAGAGCACGGTGGCTGGTGCATGGCCAACTCGTTTCACCACTAAGGTGACTAGTCTAATTAGGAATTTTATGTCTTTGCTGCATTTCTTGGCCGATATGGCTGTTTCAGAACTCAGCTGGCAGTACCGCATTTCGAGAACACGAAGAGGAAGCAGGTTTTCACGAAGGACAGCACTGCTAGGTTCAACGTGAAGTACCCCAAAGCCACAGTGAGTAACCCTGTTGCCTGCTCGGTGAGGGAGCCGCCCACCCGTGGTAAGTTCACATAACTAACTTATATGTACACAAAAGCGCGACCGCTTTATCAAATGCGCACACAGGCCACATGGAAAAGCTGCTTGATGATGTCAAACTGGAGAAGACCTAGAAGCAGAGGACATCAGGGGCTGGTTAAGCTCCAACACCACTGAGCAGTTGCTACCCTAAGGTGGCGAAAGAAGAACTCATACGACGCGGGCAAACGAGATTTAACATGCAGTAAAAAATATGTAAAACAGAAATTAGAGTGAAGACGCAGGCGAGCTGGTGACTGTAGTATTCCGAGTTTAGTTGTTGTGTGGCACGAATTCTGAACGAGAGAAGCACGTGCCCCACTTGCGGTGGCACGGGCTCAGCTCACGCTTGTCTCGATTTGGAATAGTTGACCCTGGGATTTGGAATAAAGAAGTCAGGCAGTCAAGAAAAAATAGACAGTGACCGATTCCTCACCCTCGCCGGGGCTTGCAAGGATGCGGGCCCCCGCCTCTACCGGGTCCCCTTTGCAGATGAACCCGACGTCTACTCCCAGGCCACGACGACGCCTGCAGCAGCGGCTGCTGCTCCTTTCCTGACTTTGACAAATCAAGACAAGGTCATTCACGCAGCTTTGTGCCGGTACCCAATACAACTTCTCGGACCACCACCTCCCTACCAACATCGTCCACCTTCAAAAATACAGTATGGTGACGAGAATGGGATTTGAAAAGGGCAACGGACAATGCCAATGCAAGCTCTGCGTACCGGTCACATAGTTGGTAAGAACCAGCGCATCTTGGACGTTTCTTGTTTTGTTTTGTTTTCTTTGCAGCCTTGTGGCGTTTCGTTATGACTATTTTGGGCCAGTCGAGCTAGCGTTTGGTTTTTCTTCTTTTGTCTGTTTCTTTTCGTGCGGCCTACTTTGAGCCAGGTAGTACTCGTTTCTCCGAACCAGCGCGTCTCGCAACTCCTGTACGCCTCATGTTTCGAACGCCGAGTTTATTTGATTTTTTGTAGCTTTAGTCATTCCTTTTGGATGCACTGCGTTCCGGAATTAGTCGTTCCAGGCAAGAAATAGGCCCCGAGAAAGTTAGCTGGTTTTGCGAAACAGCAATTCTTTTTGTTGTTGTTCCTTCCGCCCTGCAATGACGCGAACATTGTTCCAGGCGAGAAATAAGCCCTGGCCGAGGCAGCATTTTTTTTTTTTCATCTCGTCCGCCCTGCGATGACGTAGACTTTCTTCAAATCGAGTTTTATTTTTGTGTTGTACGTTCAGGCTGAGGTTTGGAGAATTCGGAGGTGTAGCGTAGTTACGCTGAAGCTTTTTTTTTTTTTTTTATTGTCGTGATGCTTTAGCGCTGATCCAAAAAAGTGCCCAAGATAGCCGCAAGCTCAAACCTCCCGACTTCACTGTTTAAAAGATGGCCACCAGTGGTCATTGGCCTCTCGCCGAGATGTAAGAGTGCAGCGCCTGGTTTTCCTGCGAGGCCCGGTTTTCTGCTGCGTCTGATGTTCCTGCAGCGCCTGGTTCCCCTGCAAAGCCTGGGTATTCTGCTGCATATGACTTTCACAACACAACTTCAGAGAAATAGCGCGCCCGTACGCGCCTAGAGATTTCAGCCAAAGCTGCCTTGCGTTGTGCTTCGCTTTCGCTGGTGAGCAGCCATGTTTCTTGGCACCACCGTATGCGGAAGAATTAGCACCTCTTGCGTTCAAGACAAATGGTGCCAGAAATAGGCTTAGCTTTCGAAAATAGTTTTGCATTCGACAATCAAAGTACCAGTTTTCAGAATGATAATGCTCGAAGATTCTCAACGAACTTTCATAGACATGCATGAGCCCGCGTTTTCTCTGAATTTGAGTGAATCTATCGAAATGACGCTGACCTTTCACAGGACTTGATTCTTTTTTTTTTTTTTTTTTTTTTGGGGGGGGGGGGGGGGGAGGGGGTCTTTATTACGAAACCCGACAGTCGTGTTTTCGAGTTCTTACCATTCCCTTTAACAAATGTTGAAAAATTAAGAAAGGGAGAATAGGGGCATGTTTCAGAGTGCTTTTGTGTTCTTTTTTTGGCTCTTTATTCTTCCATCATGTTCCTAAAAAATATATATTAAGAAAGGGAGAATGTAGTACTCCGAGTTTAGTTGTACGGGCACGAATTCTAAACCAAAGAAGCACGTGCCCTACTTGCGGTGGCGCGTGCTCAGCTTGTGATTGTATAGATTCGGAAGAGTTGACCCTTTAATTCAGATTAAACAAGTAGATAGTCACTGGTGTCCTTTCTCGCCCTCGGCATAGCCCGCGAGGACGCGGGCCCCTGCCGCTACCAGGTCCCCTTTGCGGATGAACTCGACGTCCACTCCCCGGCCACGACGACGCCTGCAGCAGCGGCTGCCGCCCCTTTCCCGACTTTGACAAGGCAAGACATCGCCATCACCGGCATTCAAGGTCACTCAAGCAGCCTTGCGCCAGTACCCGACAAAACCTCTCGGACCACCACCTCACTGCTAACATCGACCGGCCATCTCCAACAAAATACAATAGTGACGAATCATAGCAGAAAAACCTGAGACAAGGAGCTAAAAAAGCACAAGAACACCACCGTCTCAGAACCAGCACAACAATGATTTCATTTGACAGTCTTCCTTCTTTTCACATATCACGAGCACAACACCTGGTCATCAACAGGCATTACATTTAAAGGTCTCAAACAAAAGACACATGTACAACTGCAGTCCTAAGCGTTCGGTGATTACAACAACACTAGACCCGCAAAAGCGGTGGTGTCTCATCATCCAAAACAAACCTGTACCAAACAAAGGTTTGGTACAATTTCGTAATAAACAAAAATAAAGAAGAAAATTAAAAGAAATAATTCCGCTGGACATAGAAAATAGACTAGAGAAACAAGAATGTCCGTTTCTCCTCATCCAAAGTCAAAGAGGGCCTGCTAATACAATTTCCGGCGCTTGTAATCCTAATTGTT